CATTTTTGAGCAAAAAGCATGGGCTATAGCCCATGGTTTTGATCGATTTTGGCCCATTTTCACAAAAAGGATGGACTGTAGCCCATGGTGAGTTTTTGAAATAACAATTGTTAATGTAAAAAGGTACACTAGCTGACTAAAAGATTCATTTATTTTTGCATTAAACGAATAATTATACTTTCAATTTTACTTGAATTATTGTAATTATTTACGTTGGATTGTTCTGAGGACTGTACTTTATATGTGGAAGTCTGATTTTTGGAGAAATGAGAAAAACTGTTTTTTGCTGGCAGCAGAACCTTTTTTTTTCTTTTGTAAAGAGATGTAGGATGTTATGCTTGTCGCGCATGCGTGGCGTGATAAAGCAACGCTGTTATGATTTCGACAGATAGTGTATAATAACGTTTGGCGCTACGTTTTGTTACACTTGCTCATGCGCTTTCGTTCACGAACTGCGGTGTGTTACAGGAAATTAAACGTCCTACATCGGCAGAGTCAATTTGTCCCAATCAAAACAAAAGAAAAATAGGCTCTGCAAGCAGGGAAAGCTGTTTTTAAAAATAAATAGCTATAATAAGAAATACTTTAAATATGGCTATGAGCTGCGGATTACTCTTGTTAGTTGGTTGATGTAGCTTGAAGTGTTTTTTTTTTACCTCTTGTGACCATTGCAGTAGCAATATGGTAGCACTAATAACAAACGAATGCATCCGGTCATTTTGAGTGTTTGCATCGGACGAATTACGTCAATTGGTAACCGTCAAAACAGAAGAGCTGTTTTGGGATTATCCAGATTATTGCGTATCTTGTCGGAAACGCTCTGAAAGCGAGGCTACACGAGATTCAACCTATTAGCAACACGTGTCTGAATGCGCGCTTGCGCAATAGTGAGTTATGCTTAAACGGAAGCTCTTTCACTTTCACCAACCCTAAAATTAAGTTCACTTCATTGACATCTTGGTACTGTCCGTTCTACTTTACTGCATAACCAACAATGTGTGATCTCATGATCCATGCAATAGCGTTCAGGTCTCTGGCGATGAACGTCTCATRTGAAACGGAAGAAAACCCAGCCTCTGTGATAAAGGTTGCCGTTTCAGTAGAACAGGAACAGCCGTCACTTAAATACTTCCATAATCCATCGAAGTATTTTTGGAACGTTCTTCTTAAACTGCCTTCTTCGTCTGAAAATAAAAGGAAACGAAAAGTTGCCAAAAATACAAAGGTATAAATCGAAGTTAGGTAATACAGGAAGAAGATTCGTTCTCTACTCCACCCAATCTGCCTCATATATTATATTTTTACCACAGTTAGTCGGGGTTGCGAACTCATCCAAATGAATGCAGGATATTTGGCCGGACACAAAGTCAAAGCTGGAGCTTTCTTATGTCAGCATAAGCATAAGAACATTTATTATTATATGTTTATTTCAACTTCAGACATTTTTGCTACATGAATACAGAATATTGCGGGCATGAATAGTCTTTACAAAGTTTTACAAAGATGTATACAAATTTAACAATTGTACAGACGTTTCACAATCTCACAGTTCTGTGAAATAACCCATTTCTGACACTTTCTTACAATTTTTAGACCTTCAGTGAGGCCTACATTAGCCAGCTTACTAATCAAATCCGTGTGATACCAGATAGAAAATCAAATACTATGTTGACTTGCGTTACTTTATATCCAGGGTACATTCTTTTAAGACTATATCTTAAGTCAGTCTATTTAATTTCATTATTATTATTATTATCATTATTATTATTATTATTATTATAATTTTTTTTTTTTTTTTTGCCAAAAATACGGGCATATTTTTTCTTAGACTTGTCCCTAAGTCTACCTCTCTTGTTTACCCCCCACGAGGTGAGTATTTTTTCAAGCGAAGCGAGCGAGAGACGGCGGACTTTGCGAAAGTCCATTCTAAATCCATCGATCGATTAGACTGGTATTGTTCAAAACTAAAGAACGATTAGATTACATTGATTTTGATTGACTTGATAAATAGACGCCAATCGATTGTTTTCATTTATTTTATTTCGTTGTTCGGGTATGATAGACAAATTTACAACAACCTATAATTAGTTCACTTTGTTTATATTGCTTTTTTTTTWAAAAAGTCTTCGTAGGGCATCAGTTTGATCCCCATTGAAGACAATTAACTCATCCAAAAATCCCAATCTTCGTTGCAATTTACGTTCGGCCCCAGTGATCGTGATTTACTACAACCTGAAGGGGGAGGGGGGAGGGGGTTATAGTATCCATAAACTGAATATTAAGCCAAGTATTTGAAACATACACTGAAATACTGTAGACGTGGACGAGATTGGGTCAGAAGATTACTTACGATTAACGTAGCTTACCTAGAACGTGTTCCAGATAGTATAAACAGCCGCCCTGTGGAATACAGTAAAAAGGGTGGTGAGGAGTGATTGCTAGAGAGCCGGCTGATGGGAATTAACCCGCCCTATTCCCGAGATATATGATATAGACATAAATCAAACAGGTATTAGCGGGTAAGGGAATAGTGAAGTTCTTGGGGTGTAAAGAAGAGGGTGAAAGCGTTATTCAGTATGTTTGTTATAATTAATACTGTCTTTTTGTTAAACATGTAATGGTCACCTCCATTCAAGAAAGAAAATATTCAAAATATTGCATTCAGCTTCCGATGTGCCAACAGCTATTTTTGAGAGTCTTAGCCATGCAAATAGGCCATATGTACATTTTCGATTATAGTACAAATGTTATAGTCATCATCGCTCGTAAAAAATGTTAATATTGGACTTTTTTCGGTCCTTCCGTTGCCAGCATTTTTGTGGTGCATATGCCATGCTGGAAAATCGGCCGTAATGAGCGCAAATGAGCAAAAATATGCTATTATAATAGAAGCCAAGCATAAAGATTGTTCCACTTTGCTTATTCCCTACCAGGGAAGAAGTAGGTAAAAAGGAGAGACTTTGCTCACAGGTAACTCAGTGTTCTAACTTTTTAAAGATTTTATTACGGCAAATGGGCCCCAAATCTTATAATGAGTGGTTTTAACTCACCGGTTTTAATACTCGTTTGATTTCTTGTAACACCTTGGGAATATCCTGAACAGAGCATAGAGTCAAGGTACAAACCACAACTGCTACGGAATTCTCTTCTATTTCAGCCATGTCCTCAGCAAATCCAGTAACTACCTTTTTGATTGTGATGTTTGGAAATTTATCTGCGTTGTTCTTGAGGTACTTTTCCATATGGGGGTTAGGGTCAATGGCGATGACTGAACTCCCTTCAGGAAAGAAAGCAAAATTCGCTCCTGTACCAGAACCAATCTCTAAAATATCTCCTTTGATGTTCTGCAGTGTTGGCTTCATACTTGAAAACAACTCCTGCTTAACCTTCTGGATTGCTTTGTTGTGTAATTTACTAAAAATGTCCATGTGTAGAGCAAAGCCTTTCTTGTAGAGGTTTGAATTGATGACGACATTCCTGAGCCGTCCACTACTAGCTACTACCAAACACAATGCGAGTAATATCACAACCCCAAGCAAGCCAAGTACCTCAACCATCTTCTGCTACTTGCTTTTTTGCTTGCGATAAACTGTAAAGAAATGACAACAGGACGTTTAATGATTAATTAAGGCTAGAGCTTCACATAGTCCTGCTCATTTGTCGATGCTAATAATACACTGTTAAGCTATCTCTTTCTCAAAACAATGTAATGAATCTCCCTTAAACTGATGAAACCCAAGCCAATGGATTTCGCAAGCTTAAACAAAAGTAATTCTTAATCAAACCAATTCGCAATAGATAAACTCGTCAGACCTGCTAATAAATTGGGAAAAMCCAATTAATTTTTGAAAAGCAATGCGGTCGGCAGTGTTGGTCATTGTTCAAGTAGTACATGAATAGTTTTTGTTTTGTGGTCCTAAACGCCCTCAGGCTAATCATAGATAATGAAAGAGGTCAGAGTAAAATACTTAGTAGATATTACTTTACTATTCCTAATGTCATCATCATGCAGTTCTCAAAGCTGACAACCCGCCAGACAATTACTTTCTCACTGATTAAAATTGCGATCGATATATCTAATTGACCGGTTTTTAGCTATTTTAGTTAATGGTATATGATTTTATTAAATATTCACTTTACCATTAACGGTATGCGTTGGACTTGAACTATAATTGTACTCTAGAATTTTCTGTCAAACAAGGCCAGCAGTTTAGAACTTCTGTTGAAACTTTTCAGAAAGAATAAGATATATAATAATTTATATGAGAATAGTAATATTTCAGTTTCAATGCCTTGGCTGCTAACACTAATTAAATCTAGAATGGACGTTCAGGCTTCGTTGGCTTGATAACAGTTAGTTACTTTAGTTACAGCGTCTTTCTATTTCACAAGAGTAAGTAGGTTTGCAGAAACCTATGGCTAAGAACCATAAAGACACCCTACGTTTGTCATGTCATGCACGTATCAGATGTCTCAGATGAGACGGCGACTTGCTTATTGAATATTCCTGCAATTTTTTACCCGGATCTTTGCGATGCCGCTTCTTGTGCCTTATGACTGGCTTTTACACGACTGAATGCATGTATGCAGTTTTCGTATTTGAGTAATAACGAATACTTGAATGAATTTTTGAATGTGGAAATTGTTAATCTAAGTTTCTAAGCAAAAGTTTTAAATTCAATTTATAATGATTTATCAATATTTACCGGGATGACTATTATGAAACATACCGATCAAAAGCTGTATGTACGCGAGAATGACCTTGATTGAACYTCAGATGTCGAACTATTATATTATTTTGTTTTTGTGCCTGTATATATAGCATAAACACGGAAGACGAACTTGTCATTCAACAAAGGCTTCTAATTCCCCCGTTTCCGTTAGACAATGAAGCAACATTTCACCATTTGACACAGATCAAGAATAATCAATGATGTAACCCTTCGAATTACATGTGTTGTTTTGGCACAACAAAGAAAGCAGGAGTGATTGTGTTTTATGACTTTAATGCCACCAGATTACGTATAGTGCATACATAAGATCACAAAACAATGCTTGCCCAACCCCATTAAGTATATTGTGAAATTTTCTTCTACATCTTCCTAGAATGTTCTAATTGTTTTATTTTAACAATACTGTAATAATTAGTTTTGAAGTGGTTTTTGAAATAAAGATAAAATTAAGTATTATTTGAGTTCTCTTTTGAAAAAGAATCGATTTCCGGTTAATCAAGTTTGGTGACTGGTTCCGGTCAACCTACGCCAGCAGGACACTGCGAATAATCGTAGGACGATGGAAATGCGCCAAGGCTGTGATCCATAACTCGTGCTTCCGATAACGTTAAAAAACTATAATCAATGTTAATACTTCTGACAGGCTGTCACAGAGACCAAAGAGTTAAGGTGGAAAGGAAAAAACAATTCGATATACGCACGGGACGTTTGGGCATGCACGGCCTTCATTTCTAAACTCTTAGTAGTAAATGTCGATTATATGTTACCAAAAGCTGGCTATCTATTTGAGTACAAATATCAGAAAGACTACGGCTACGTTCTAGTAAAATGATAGCCCGCCCTTTATGTCAACACTTAGTAGTCGATAGTTTTATGTTTCTTACTTGAGGCAGCTTGAACTTTGAAATTAACCATACAGTGAGGTCACTTTTGCCATTGCAAATTAATTTTAACAGTAATACATAGTGAATGCTGAGTAATTGTACTGAGATCGTTGAGCTTGCGCTTGGAAAATCATGTGTCGCAAACCAATTTGACAGAGTGTTGTCAGTAGGTGCGGCTCGTTTCTAAAGAGTGACGCATGCGTTTTTATGATTCCGAATACCAAACGGAATACCTATAGAAAAGACGAACTAATTTATTTATTTATTTCACAAGGCGCCAAAGGGAAGGTGAAAAAGCAACAGGACATTAAGTCCCCTACAACGTATTCTCACTCAAAACAGTGGGCGAATTCATGTGATTTCATATCAGTAAGCCAAGAGTAGCCTGTGTTTCAACCGGATGTGACGCAGGCTAAACAGAGTTGATGAGTAGAGTATTTTATGGTATACGTAACTGAATATTAGTCAACAATGATAGCCGTGCTCGAGTGTAAGTCAATTCCAACCAATACTATCTAGTGAAAGCTATGTAATTTCACCAAGACAACAAAAATTCGTAAGGTAGTCGGTGAGATTTAGTTTCTTCAATAGCTTTAGGAAGTGAGCATTTTACCGTCTTTCCGCGCTGAGGGTGGCGAGGAGAGCAACTCGTGTCACAATCCGGCTTTCAACACTCATTAATAGTTAAGGTATTCTGCAATCCGGAGAAAACCTTGAATATTAAAAACAATGCGCATGTTTTTTAGGTTCGCATTAGATTTCTGTTATTGTTGGGGAGTCAGTTAGCCAGTGACAAGTTGAACATGTCGTTGTAGATCATATCCGGATGATAAACGATGTTTTTTTAATTTATCAAGCTAATCTTGTTACAATGACCACTGGAATCACGCGATATTAACAAGTTCCAACTTTCATTATAATCAGCGAGAAAAAAAAAAAAGGTTTAAGAGAGTAAAAGAGTTCAGAAACCGCCTCATTCAATGGTATAAAACAAAGTAGGAGTCAGCCATTGCAAATATCGATATGTCAAGCCTGATTGGTCGATTCCGTGACTACAGATCATAAGAGAACTGACATATCCTACCTAGCTAAGTCCTCGCTAATTCGGCTCTCTTTTAGTGCTCAGTAATATGTCAACTATGTCRAAAGGAGATATCTTCATTTTACGATCAAACGTATCTGTACGAAGCCCCTGTACAAAGTAGTACTTGAAAAAATGTCTGAAATTTGCGGCACTTCTTACCTTTCATAATCGAACCTAATTACTACCCCATGTATATACCTTTTATGATAAATATATATAATATTACAAGTAGAATACATATTTGTACATTATTGATTACCTCGAGTCTCCTGCAGAAGTATGAAGGGAACAGTCGTTACTAATGTAGCAAATGCGTGCTGTATCAGTTGAATTCCAATGTTCTTGGCAACACCGCACGGCAGGGATGAGAAATGAATAGTACATAGTATCTACAGTTGATTGGTTTTCAAGAAGCAACTTGATCTCTTGTTTGTTGCAGATGCTATTTTCAGGTTGAAGGCACTTGATGCTGACATACATGGCTTGTCGTGTGATCTTTTACATTGTGATGTCATTTTTAAAACCGAACTGTCTGACGACAAGATCTTTAAATATTGCGTGAGATTAGTCCGCGGGCGAGTATTATTTATTATTTGTAATATTATTATTATTATTATTATTATTATTATTAACTGTCTGACAAGATCTTTAAACATCGCGTGAGAATAGTCGGGCGGAGAATGACAAGTAAAGGTTTATTTTAATATAGTTATAGTTTTGTAATACAGTTAGGTTTAACCTCGGAATCACAACAGTACATGCGTAAATCTGATTAGTCCAGTACAATCATTTCAAATGACGTCAATGAGTGATGCCATAGATATTTATACTTTTAGGTTCTTAATCGCAGATTTTAGTATAGATTTTATTTAGATTTTCATAGATTTTACATTGCTGATCACCGGTTCATACCAGCTGTTCTATCGTGTCCAGCTGATCGGTTTTTTTAAATCAGGATAAATAAAGATATTATTATTATTATTATCATCTTCATCATCATCATCATCATATTTTACTCGTTCTGAAAGAATGACTAAATATTCGGAAAGCCGTCATTTATTAAGCAAAAGTTGTGCACTTTAAAACGTTCATACCGGGTCTTAGTCACAACCACTAAACCCTTTTAAGATTGTGATTGGACTTTAATTACGTCTTAATGTGACTTCATGGTCAATTCTGTCCGTAGAAAATTAGGTTGTGCGTCAGTATTGAAATATTCATAATGCTGTTCCACAACCACTAAATCTTCTCGCCAAGTTTTAATGATAAGCTTTGGTCCAGAGGAATCTTTTAACGACGTCATTACTTAGTGTTGTCATATTCCATCCTGTTCGTAGATGATGATGTCACACAACCAGGTTGTGCGTTTTAAAACGTCTAATGGTGTGATAGTGATAAACATTATAAAAAGCAGCAATTCAAGGCGGAATACCTCACCTGTACCGAGAGTGATGAAACCAGCGTTGCGGTTTCTCTCTCTTTGCTCAGATGGCAAACATATACAAACTTATATGACAAATTAGGAGACTGTGCTGGTAATTTCGATATTATTCTTATATGGTATAATATGTTTTATTATATAGACATGAGTGTCGTACTGGGAAATACGCCACTTGTATTTTTCGTACAAACTACATCCGGGACCTGCAGTAACATATTTTCCATCTCTTCACTAGTGAGGATATCGATAACGTCACTTGCGATGTTTTCCCGCTCACTTGAGGCGCGTTGTAATAGTTTTTACTTGTGGATTTGTCTATATAATAAATAAAAAATTACACGTTGGCTTGAAGATATGAAGTTTATCTTCGCGTGTTGAAAAATATTTCACTCGTCCGCTCGTGAAATATTTTTCACCACTCTAAGATAAACTTCATATTTTCGCGCCACCGTGTAATATCCTATATGTAAAGATTGATATATTTGTAGAAACTATATTACTGATCAGAGTTAAAGTTGTGCTGCGCGCACGCTAATATACAGGCTTTGTGAGATAATTTGATGATTACATTATTATTCTTCTGTTGTATAACTAACTATTCTAAATACAATGTTACAATATTCTTGATGAGTATTACTAGTTCGTTTGCCTTTATTGAGAATGAAATAGCCTCTTTTTACTTTGAATAATTGCCATTTCTTATCACGTTAGGTTTATTTTTGTTCTTTCATTTCCCTTCCTCCTCTATYTTTATTTCCTATTTCTTCTCCTTTCTCTTCTATTCCTTCTTCCCTTCTTGTTGTTGCTTCATTCATTCTTTTCTCTTTTCCTTCTGCCATTTCTTGTTCCTCTTGTTGTTGTTGTTGTTGTTCCTCTTCTTGTTCTTGTTTTTCAGCATATGCCGTCACTTCTTCAACTGCGTCCTCAAATACGAGATTTCCATCGATGGCTGGCTCATTACAAGCATCAGTGAACTCTCCTTGAGCATCGATTGCAATCTGTAGTACTTCAAGACAACAAGATACATTGCACTTGGGTTCTTCCTTCAGGCTCATCAGCGTAGTCACTATACTCGCTACATATTTCACTTTAAAAAAAACAATAAAAAAGACGAAAATGAAACGATATTAGATATAATTAAGTGCTACCCTGAAAACACGAAAGGAGCATTTATATATCCAAATATAAATCCTCATTATTAAATTAATGATTACCTACCTGTAACTATTGCAATGACAGCAATGTTGGCAATCATAAGCAAAACTGTTATTGCAATTCCGTCAATTTCGTTCACACCAGACGAAGTTTCATCCAGTGGGATTTTCATCAGCATGCCAGTTGAGAAATTTACAGAACTTGCCATCAAGGAAGCCAGTTGTAGCCAGTGCTCAAAGGTGTCATCAATTGGCTTGTAAAGGGCAAACATCACAGAGTACAGACCAGAAAAGATTGAAGTAAGGCCCAAACTCAACCGACTTTCAGTGGCCATCAGGACCAGGATGGAAGTAAAAGCAATCTTGCGAAGGAGTTCTACGATTTCCCAAAACCAACAGCTTGATGAATAATTTTCATAAAGGAATCGAATGCCATTCAAAATGGCATTGCTGCGCACAGATGATGCTCCATGGCGACGTTCCATTTTTCTTCCATTCCTCAGGATCAAATAAAGCACCAATGGAAAGCCAATACAATACAGCAAGGCTGCTGTGCTTACAGTACCGTATACATTGTGTTTAGCTGTGTTACACTGAATACTGTAATCTGCTTTCAAGTAGGACATACAGTTGTGACCTCCATACGAGCAGATCTTGTGGCATGTAACAGGAAGCATTTGGACAACGTGAGTGAAGGTGGATGGAAAAGTAATGAACAGAATCAAGAACAAAAAGCGATAGCATTTTTGTTTGTATTGATTGCACTTGATCTGGCGTTCCTCCACAGCATTAGTAGATTCCTCTCTTTTGTTTCTAGCATAAAACTTTACGATGAAATTAAATAAAACCCCGAAACTAATGACAACGCCAGTGATGACCATGCTACTCAAGAACCTGGTATATGCGTCGGTTTTGATGGTATCGTCGATGCAGCTCAGAGGTGCTATTTGCAGTAGATTGAATTGTATCATTTTAGCATATTTCATGATCGTGAGAATAGGGCCTGGCCAACTGATGTACGAAAAAGAGTCAAAAGTAGCCGAAGAAACCTGGTAAAATCCGATCACAATTTTGAGCCGTGCAAGAAGAATGTCAGTCAAGGATCGCGATGAATTACCTGCTTCTTTCTTTTTCTCCAATAGGATGATAATAACAAGAATGATTACTGAAACAGCAACTAGAACCATCTGAGCAATGATCCAGGGAAGGGTAGGGCATATGTGGCAATTTGTCATCATTTGTATGTACCCCTTACCACAAACTGAGCACAAAGGTCCTGTGTAACCTTGTTTACAACTCGATAGTTCTCCCCCGAGACAAGCTTCAGCAATCGGACAGGCATAGGCTATTGAAATAAAGCCATTAAAGGCAGGTTGTTTGTGACTTCCATTAGAAATAAGTAAGTCTTTTTTGAAATGTTCATAGTCCTGTAGCAATTTTCTTTCCCAGATCCAATAAAAACCAGCTGCCAGGTCAATACTTTCGTTTTTACAGACATAGCCCTTGGTGCAAGTGAAGCAACGTCCATATCGATCAAGGCGGTAATGTTCATCCATGCAGCTACACGCCCGGAATTTAGCAAATGTTTTTAGATAAGTTCCTGGAATAGTTTGCAAAAAAAAAAAGATATCTTAGAGCGCTTCGTGTGTTTTTGGGACCGGGACCACTTCAGATGCGGCACCTTCTTTTTGCTTTCGTATCATGAAAATTTACTTTGATTTGTGTTAACCTATTTGATGAATTGAAGCCAAAATTTTAAATTACTGAAAAAGAGCAGTTCATTTGGTAAATTAAAGAAAATATAAATTTGTTGACAAAAACATTCCGTCCCATTTTGTAGGTACTTTCAAAACTTATACCTTGTGGACACGAGCGACAGTCTGTTCTTGATTTTCCAGGTGCCATTTGTGGTTTCACAAAGGTACCATGAGGACACTGCTTACATGCGACTCCATACGTATCTTTTCCATCCCCTATGTAGCCTATTTCATCTTGATAGAATCCACCTTAAAAATGCAGTTTTACTTATCACAAGTAATTCTCTAAAATATCGATACAAGAACGATGTATACTGTATACTTCATGATAAAGGAGTAAAAGCTCTYTAACAGGGGCGGATCCAGGAATCTGAGAAAAACTCACATTGTATGCTTAGGGTGCCTGTGGACTGATTCGTTCAGTTTAATTCTACATAACTGATGACCTTTGGAGCCTTCAGTATAGTTCTCTTTGGAGTATATAATGTCCGCATTATAATTCGCGAGCAATTAAAATCCTTGAATTTGAAGGTTTAAATTGTCTTATATTTTGCAACGAACATGCTAAAAGTAGTAATACCTGGTGGACATGCTTTACATATTGGCCGTACATCAATAGGTTTGTAGTGTCCTCTCTCGCATGGATAGCAAATACCCAAGAGCTCCCCATCTGGGCAGAAATATCCAAGAGCAGCAACTAGAAATCTTTCCTCAGTGTTCTTTACTTTGATAGCCAGATCAAGACTACTTGCATTCGTATCACTCTGAGAACTTGAACAAAAATGATGGGTTATTCGAGTACTGATCAATAAAGCAACGGAAGAAATTATAGTTGTTGTTAAAATTATTCAGTAGCAAAGATCGACGGCCAAACACTCATAAGACTTACATGACAAATGATATATTAGTGGACAGTATGGGCCAAATAACGAGAGGCATAGTAATAAACGAGTTGATCAAACTCCTGTAAAAACGACAGAGTAGACTGATATGAATGTTGCAAAAGAAGAGAGCGACAAGAGATAATGGGCGCACGTCCTCCCGTTCGTATGGACTAAACTAAAAAAAACGAGTTAAAACTCACACTATCGTGAGATTGGGCAGTGACAGGAAAGCTCCTTCCTCAATAACTTTAAGAGGGTTTCCAGCAAGAGTTCTGTGCAATAAAAGAAATGTGTTAAATAGGAAATAGAATCTCCTTGCTGAAG